GATCAGCCCTGAGCATCTCTCACTGGCATGACAACCAACGTGCTTGCTTCCCTCGTAAACCCTTTGATTGTGAATTTTGTCTGTGGCTTCTGTGTGGCCGTGGATATTAGGACCTAGAGGTCAAGTAGGGAATGATCATTCAGACAGTGCAGTGGTAGCTGCCGAGTCACCCACGGCGGACAGGTTCCAAGACTCAGACTACGGAGAAGGGACAGGCTGTTCTCTTCTGAGGGACCGGCCACTGACCATCTTCTGAAGAGCAGCGGGGCCTTGTCAGGGACAGTGGCGGAAGATGAGCCCCTCTGGTCGGAGACACTTTCAATAGGACGAGAGGAGCTGCCTCCACAGGGGACCGTCACCCTCACTCGTGACGTGGCTGGAGGAAAGCTTCCGGGCCGTTCATGTGCTGGCGGGGAAATGACTCAAGATAGGCTGAGAAAGAGCTTCACCCGTCCCTCACTCGATGGAACGTGGAACGTGCGACGTAGCACGGATCGAGGGACACTGGAAGTCGTCCAAGATGAAATCAACTATACCTCACTTGGTTGCTGAGCGTGAGGAGGATGAGAAGCCCTTGCTGATGAAGGTCAAGGGCTGCAGCACCGAAATCCTCACCGCTGGACCCATGGCAACACCACGGTCAGCGGAGAAGAGGTTGGCCAGGACCTCATCTTGCGTGGATCCGCAAGCAAGGCCCACGGAAGCAGCGGTCAGGTCGAAAGATGCATTGCCCTGGGAAACACGCCGCACAAGCCTTCTTCGGAGCGCGGACGAGCAAGGATGGTGCTTTGAGAGCTCAGGTGCGTCTGGCCCAAGCCATGGGTCCTCCATGGCCTCCTATGAGCGTGACAGCTGGACCCTGAGTAGGGTAGACGCAAGAGGGATCTACGCATTCGAACCGTGGCGCTGGAGAAGAATATTGAAAGTACCACGGACTGCTAAAAGGACCGAGATGGAATACCCAGAAATTTGGAATCACGGCGACAAACTGAGGACCTCTGTGGGAAGAGACGATGGAGCAGCTCGACATCAGTAGCCAAAATGAGGCCAGGGGCCGACTGTGGATCAGACCATCAATTGCTCCTATGTAAGGCCAGGATAACGCTGAATGTGGGGAACAGAGAATGGGAAGAGAGTGGATGTGGATGAACCCTTCCTTCCAGTGGTTCTCCACCTTCTTTGAGGCCGTTCCTCATGTGGTGGGGACCCCCCCAACCATAAAATCATTTTCGTTGCTACTTCATGACTGTCATTTTGCTACTGTGATGAATCGGGC